GTGGAGGTACTGGGGACTAGAGATGTGAATCCAGGACCTCACACATCTAGGCATGCACTTTACCACTGAGCTACAGTGAGATACTTTTCTTTTGCAGAAATACTGAACTTGTCTAGAGAGAGATCAGGAATCTCCTCTAGTGCACACCACCAGACTACTGTTTACAAAGTTCCTTCTCTTTTTGCAAAGTGAAGTCCTCAAGCTGAGCAGAAGGGTCAGAGGCAGGGTACCTCGCTGAGTCGTTGAGTGGTGTTGGAGGGGAGGGTCAACATGTTCCACAATGTCTGTAGTTCTTCCAGGAGGTTTGCAGTAAGACTTGAGACTCTCAGAAATCTTTCCTCACTCTTAGGGCCAAACAGCAGTGGAAACATTTCAGGATGTTTATCAACATGATTTTTCCAAATATTCAATTTCTTTTTTTTTTTTACATTTTTTATTGATTCATAATCATTTTACAGTGTTGTGTCAAATTCCAGTGTTCAGCACAAATATTCAATTTCTTTTTTAGACCCAAGCATCTTGTTACTTGGAGTCAAAACATTTTCTCCATGGCCTCAAAGATACTTGTTCTGCTAGTTCCTGCGATGAAGTATTTGCCACATGGTCCAGTTTCTGCTGACATTATCTTCAAAGCATTCAGAAAAATTGGATCATCAGGTAACTAGCATATGCTACACCCAAGAACAGTTAGAATTTTTATGCTATCCATGTTTAATTGAACTACTAATACTTAGTTCATACTAGTTTTTTAAAGTAAGGGTTTTCTAGGTTTACTCATGCAGCAATCTCAGGGCTTCCAAAAAGGGCCACCTTGTTCCACAACTCCAAGGGACCTCAGTGTAGTCCATGTGAACGTTGTCCCCAAGTGTTGTGCAACCCAGTGACTCTGGATTTCTTACTCAAGCCCTCTTTGTTTCCATCTCTTGGACCTTCCTAAGAAGGGATGCATTCTTTGATTAGTCAGGGGGTAAATGAGGCCGGCTCATTACATGGAAATTGTCATTACTCCCACTGCTGCAATACTGACACAGGTAAAACTCATGCCGGGGACGAGAGGTCAGGACCCTCTTGTCCCAAATGCCCCCTTCCCTTCTTTACCTGCCTTCTCAAAATCTAGTAGGGGTGGAACGGGGGATTTCTACTTCTTGGCTAACCCTGTATGGACTTCCTCAAAGTCACATTACCCTTCTCTCCTTCCCTATATGAGTCATAATGGCAGGATGACTGCTGGGGACTGTGAATTTCAGGGGAAGGGAGGAGTATTTTCAGAACAGTATTCTTATTTTACCTGCTGTACCTATATCAAAGGTCTTGTTAATTGCATTCAATATTTTGAAATGAAAAATGAGGATAAAGGTGTACTTCTTTACCCAACATTGGTTTCCAAACTGCAAGTTACTGGGCATGTAATTCTTTCATTAAATAATCCAGTACAGTGCATACAAGTAAGACAAACTTGAGATGCTTTTGTGGACCTTTTATTAGCTTTTAATTCATGAGAACCATTTTTTTCCCTCAGCAAGTGTAGAAAAATATTTAATATACAAATGGCAAAGAGTAATGAGACAGGATTCATTAAATTAGAACCAGGTAATTGTTTGATCTTCTAAAAGAACACTAGGTCTGAGTCCCTAGTTCAACATTTACACATGGTGAGTTCTTGCAGTGCTGACATAGTTTTATTTTTGACCTAGGTAATTGTTATGTTGGCATTTAATAATTGGACTTTATGGACTTCTGAAATTATATTTCACAAGAAGAAATGGTAAACTATTTTTAGTGTTACATAAATGTTAATTTATGTGATGTTCCCTTAAGCCTGACCTGGGTCCCTACTAACTGCAAATTCTAATATTGCATATTACTTAAAAACAGGTTAGTTCCATTTGGTAATTGGTGGCTTTCTGCCTACATCCACTACCTGTTGCAGAAGGAAGCTGCCATCTACACCAGGCCTCACAATTGCTAAGCCTCCTTCTGTTCAGTCCCAGGAGCCAAGGAATTGAGAGAGGTAGAAGGAATTCAGCCTTGGGGTGTGGCCGCCTCCTTCAACCAAAGTAGGTCTGCTCCTGTTTTCACACACCCAGGGCTCCATTTTTCTTTGAAGAAATATGACTAAAAGAAAGCTTGAAATCCACTGATTGCATATTCTGAGCTCAGGTTTAATCATTTCAATGTCCAGATTACAGTCGTAAGGAAAACACTAGGTGATTCTAATCTTGTGGCTGTGTCTTTACATTTCTCTTCCAGTTTTGTGCATTATACGTAAGTTCCACTTCTATGTAAGAGCAGTTTTATGGCTCCCTGTACTTGCTGTTTATGCTGCATCCGTTTGGTTGTTCCTAATGACTTCCAAGGATACTGACTCTACTCATAAGTTTCAAAATCACAAAAAGTATTTGCTTTCTGTTAAGCACTGGCATATGAAGTCTCTAGTTTTTACTAAAAAGAGTATCCTGTATCTAACCCTTCCTGTTTAGTATTACTTTTTTTCTTTCCAAGTTAGTCAATTTAGTTTGGGAACTTGCCCACTAACTACACATTTTCTTGCTGTACAAACCACAAAGGAAGAGATAAAAACTTTAAAAATTAGTATTTTTACATAATGATCGTCCTTCAGTAGTCTTTTTAAAGAAGGGAAACAGAAAAATGGAGAGAGAGTAAAGCTGGTAATAGGGAAGGGAAAAGGAATGGTTCCAGCTGGACAGCAATTAACCCGCGTTCAGTGAAATTTCCTTTTTTTTTTTTTGCAGAGGGGTAGTAGGAACATGAATGGCTTGACAGCTCTGCACTCATCTATTTTTGTTTAAATGGTAGAAAGCTACAAAGAGCTTCTTTAATCATCAACCACAGAAAATATTTTTCAAGTCATGATTGAACAGATACCCATAGATTTGCCAGTGTCTCAAAGTGTCAGTGTAGGACTTCAGCACCACTGAAGACAAAGCCTACTAATTCTCCTTAAGTTGATAACACTGTTGTAGAACTGACCTGCTTCCAGACGATGCTTGCTTTAGTTACCTTCTCACTACCAGTCGCTTTGGAATCCAAAGAGGAAGGCGAAATCTGTACCAAGAAAAGCTGTTCTTGGCAGAGAACGATGGCCCTTTCACACCTTATTTAAAATGGAGCTTGCGTCAGATAACACATACCAACAGCCTTGGAATTACACATATCCTCATGACAATTACCCCAGCCAATGGCTGCAGCTGCAGGCCCCCCAGATTGGGGTTAAACTCATGAAAACACCATTCTTTAAAAACAACTTTCTAACTTTACCATTAAAAAAAAAAATTCCCTATTTTAGCACCGTCAAGAAAAATTAATTTCAGGACTTCAATTCACCTTGACTTAGAAGAAAAATCAGTATTTCCTAAATTGATATCCTATTTTATTTAGTAAACTGATTGCAAATTATTATTATTTAACAACTTCAGCTGCACCCACATGGGTTACTTCCCTAGTTACAAATATTCAAGACAGGCAAGTACTACAGAGCAGCAGCGTATAAACATGAGAGTCCCTCCTACGTGACTCATTTGAAGGAAATGAGCCTTTGGAATGATGTGGTCACTTAAAACTAGTAGAAAACCTGACTGAGGGGGATTTTCAGAAATGTAAGCACTTAGAGAAGTGAGAAATAAACGATAAACCAGTAAGAGCTTGGACTCTGGAATCAGGTATGTGCTTGAATTTGACCTTTGACCACATTACTTTTTCAGTTTCATCTGAAAAAAAAGGCCAAATGAGAATAGTTACTCATCAGGTCGTGAGGAAGTGAGGACACATACACTTACTAAACTATGGTACCCTTTACATGTATCATCTTGTCTGATCTTCAGTCTTAAGGCGGCTTTTATTTTACAGATGAAGTTAAAACGTTAAATTTCCAGGTACATGCCTACTTAAAGAGGCAGAGCCAAGATTCTGTCTCAAGATCACAAAGCTTGTTTTCTTCTGTACTACACTATCTTGAAGAATTGTAAAACACAATTTCTTTTAAATCAGCGATTCTTTAAGTTTTTAAATAGTCATAGCAAATAAACGTTTATAAATTAAACGTTTGTTTCTACACTTAAGCAATTCCAATTCTACAATATAAAAATGTTATAACTGAAGTCTTCACTTTTATATTAACTTGAAATCTAGCCAATTTAGGAAATTACTAAACCACCTAATTATAGATATATTATAGAAATCTATTCTTTGTAACATCTGGCTTGCTCATCTTGTAATCATTGCCACACAAAATACACATTCCAAGGCTGAGGAAACTGAGGTAATTAAAACTGCTTCCCCAACTCATGTTACTGCTCCTCACAATATATAGTCAACCTGTTTACAGAATATGGACTTTATCTTTGGTGTTCAATTTAACATGCTCAAACATAAACCATTTTAAAAAGTTATGTAGTGAAATAAAAACAATTCTCATTATTTCAAGTATATAAAGACTCCTCTATTATTTCTAGAATATAAAATGGAAATAACTCCTACATGCTTACATTGTGCTTTTGTTCAGTATTCCTACTCCAATACAACTGCCGTGTAAGAGGTCATTTCCCTGATTTTTCTCTGTACATTATCACCATCACTGCTCAAAGTTCAACATCTAGAAAGCCAGAAGAAAGGCCACAGAGATAACACTTTGGGCTAGAGTTGAAGAAAAATGAAACAGAATACCCCACCAGAGAGTAATGCAGTCAGAATCACGTATGTAATAGAAGTGCATTTCATTTCACTACCAACAAACAATTCAACTGAATAGGCTCATTAAAGAGCTGAGCATGGCTGCCTTATTCTGCCCAGTATTCTTCCATGAGGCCTGTAAACAAAATCATCTAGTTCTAGATCTGTAAACTGTTAACTTCTCTATCCATAAAAAGTTGTGTGTCAGCGATGAAAAATTACCTAGTCGTAATTTACGACGACGAGTGGGGGAAGCCTGTTCGCAGGATTCGGTTTTGACTTAAGGGGGTGAAAAAAAAAAAAAACACAACTTCTTGAAAAGGTAAAATAGCTTAAAGCATTTAATTTCTAAACAAATCAATCTGTTAATAGTAGTAGTCACAAAATAGGCTTAATATAGAAACCCACATTTATGTCCTTAAGAAAAAGTGTAAATTGTATTTTACCTCAAAACATAAATTAACCCACTTAAAGAATCTGCAGCAGTCAAAATCATGGTGAATTTTAAACAACTTCAGAATAAAATTACCTTAAGTACTTTATACTGCTTTATATCTAAAAAATGCTTACAACTTCTCATAAAAATAGTCTGAGGCAACTATTTTTTCTTTTATTCTTTAACAGACAAGCTCAACATTATGGGCAACATTCTTTAAACCTTAAGCTTCACAGACTTTCAGACATTCAAATACCATGGTCCCCTTTTCTTTAATGTGAAGGTTTATTCAGCTAGGAAAGAAAAAGCATGGTAGACAACTGAATACATTTTCACCAAATTGAAAGTAGTACAAAAGTTTTAAGACTCTACAGAACTACACATCGTACCTAATGTATCATTAAAAATAGATGACAGTATTTCCTTCAGCAAATAAAATGGCATACTGGTATGCTGTTAATGCATACACCATTTAACGTGTACTGTCATTCACAAATTATTTACAACTTGCGCTGTGTGAAAAGAACTAGAATGTAAATTTTCTGCAAAACTGGAAAAAAAGCAATACAAAATTTGTGAAAGCCTGTGTTTTGTATCATACAAAAGTAAGCCAGTTTTTCTCTTCAAATACCAGATACTGAATGCAGTGATATGCTGGACAGTTTACAGTAATTCTTGAGGATGTTTTAATGCTGGAGGTAAGTTTACAGGCCTTGACTCTTCGTCGAGGAGTACTAGGTCTTCTATTTCACTGCCTCTGTATTTCCTTTTACAGATTTTTACCACCACCTTTTTCTTGAGAAATAACTTCAATGCTTCTCTTGATGCAACTGCTTTTGCGTTTTCTTTGCTTTTTCCACAGCCAGTGCCCAAATACACAGACTTACACCTCAATTCACAAACAATACTTTCTTGAGAGCTTTTATTTTGAGGCAGATCTGCCAGTTCTTTCAGTGGGACAAAAAACACATCCAGTGTTGCTTTCAGGGCCTCAATAGCTGCATTTAGGAGCTCTCCATGATTCACACTGGGACTAAAGCCACCAACGGCCACCAACTTCCACGCCACCGTTTTATACAGTCTATTGAAAAAAGGTTGCTTCTGTTTCACATCTTCATTGGTTAACTTGCAGCAAGAGAATTTCACAGAACTCTCACTTGACTGTGTAGCACTTTTAGAAGGCAACTGTGACGTGCTAGTCTGAGAACTACTCTTAGAAGCCAGCTGGGACACACCTGCTATGGAAGTGCTCTTAGAAATGAGAGCGCCACTGGTCTGGGAGCTGCTCTTGGAAGCTAACAGTGATGCAGCGACCTGCGAAGTGCTTTTGGAAGTCAGCATCGATGTGTTTGTTGAGGTGCTGCTCTTGGGAGTTAGTAAAGATGTGCCTGATGAGGAACTGTTTTTAGAAACCGATGATGAAACACTTGCCTCTGAACTAGTTTTGGAAGTTAACTCACTTGAAGCTGTCTCTGAACTAGGTTTGGAAGACAACAGTGGCAGCTCTACTTCTGAGCTTCCTGAGGAGCCCAACAAGGGCACCTCGATCTCTGAGATGCTCTGAGAAACTAAGACTGAAGGGCCTTCCAAAGCACTCTTTTTCGGTGAGCCACTCTGTTGTCTGGAATCAGTGGACTGGGTCACGTGACTATTCACACTGGACTTCAACAATGAAGAAACAAACGACACTGAACCATGTTTATCTGGAGCTTCCGATTCAGCTTTTCCAGGACCTACCGTTGTTACCTGAGAGGAAGTGCTGCTGCTGCTTTGGCTGGAAACAGATCGATCTCCATCACTTGTGGAGCTATTCTGACTCGGGGTGCCAGAGCTCCGACTCGAGTTCCCACCACTCTCTGACTTGGTAGATGACCCTGAACACGCTGAGATGTTTTCCTGCTGAGCTGATGTGCGGTCTGTTTTGGCAGGAATTTTTGCATGATCTTGCTCAACTGCAGAACTGCCCTTTCCTTCTAGGGCTCGTTTTTTCGTTGGCTCTTCTACCCCTTCTGAAAAGAAAGAAAACAGACATGTGACTAAGCTTACCTCATACGTATCAGCTGAAAATTTATAAGAGATACTCATATTAAAATAAAGGCACACGGTGAAAATATTTCAGGACTCGTAGTGTCTTTAAAAAGTTTTAAAACTTCGTTAATTTCTTAAAACAGCGTTGAATTAACCAATGATTTCTCATAATAAAAAATCAACAGCGTGGACATTTAACACTTCGAAATCTCACAGAGTCAAAGGAAACTATAAAACACAGACACATAATTTAGGTTTAACATTCCAACTTGATTAATAACAGTATATAAAGTCTAGCTTGTTAAAAAAAATTAGTAACAATCATTCCTAATTATATCAAACTTAGGTTCTAAACTCCTATGTATGTTCACATCTATGATCTGCTAACCATTGCTACTCGATATCCCTCTTTTCTTCACCTTGGCAACCAGTTCGTCTCTTGTTGTATGGATTGGAGCATCTGTCACTTTGATGCCTTCAGCCATACTAAGTATTTTATCCATAACTTTTTGGGGGTACCTGAAAAAAAAAAAGGAGGAAGACACTTTAAAAAGCATTTCTGCTAAGCTGCCACCTCTCGAGTACAAAAACAGGCCACAGGAACTGCATTTCCTGGTCGTAATCAAGAAACTGAACCAACCGCCAGGAACTTTGTTTCCTGGAACCCCACAAACACACACCCGGGGTCTGGGAGGCGGGGTCCCTCCTTACCAATCTAATTTAACCTAGTGTCCCTCTCCCCTAGAGCGCTGTCAGCTCAACGCCAGCAGCTCACCACCCGACCGGGGCACCTACAGACGGCTAATCATGTCGGCTTCAGGCAGAGACGCCCTTCTCGCCCTTAGAGGGCAGCCGGGCCCGCGGATTCCCGCGCTTCGCCACTTCCCTTCTCGCCGAGGGCTCCGGGCCCCAGTCCGGGGCGGAAGACAAAACGGGGAGAGCTGCTCGGGGACGCCGGTTCACTCACCGGCACCCGAGGAAGACGTGGTTGGCCCACGCCATGGAAAAGGAGATGAGCTGCTGCAGCTGCCGATTGCGGGTCCCGCTCCCGGCGTCGGCGGCCTCCTCCTGGTTAGCGGAGGCAGCGCCGCCGGCGGGGGCCAAGTCCCCGGCGTTGCGGAGCAGAAACTCCCTGCGGTGGCGCCAGTGTTTGTCGGTCTCGCCGTCGCAGCGCAGCGCCTCCACCCAGGCGGCCACCCGCGGGTTCTGGCTCAGGTACTCCGACACCTCCTGCGCCATGTTGGGCCTGCAGGT